GCGCTAAGTATTTATCTAAATACTTACGTAAGAGCTCTAGCTCTATCTTAGAGAAGTTGTATAATAGCTAGTAGAGCACTATAGTTCTAGGTAGTAGGTTAATAGCTAAGTCTTATAGACTATAGTTAGCAAGAACTCTTAAGTTATCTTCTAATCTAAGGTGCGCAAACTTAGCATATTGCAGAGGTAAACTACTCTCTTTAGCCTCTTCTAGGCTAGACTAAAGCGTTAAGGTAATAAGATAGCTATATATATCTATTATAGAATTGCGCATAGTCTTCTTAAACTTTTTAGCCTCTTCTAGCGCAATCTTCTTGTAGATAGTTCTTTTCTTAGACTTAGTGCTCTAAAAGAGCAGCCTCTATGTAGAGTAGCTAATCTTTAGGTAATACGCGTCTATCTAGAGTAGACCTAAGTATATCTAATACTTATAGACTTCTGCAATAATATATAGAACGTTCTAGGTCTCTTATTTTCTGCAAGAATCTACTACCTTTATAGTTACTATAGTAGTGCTATAAATCTTTAATTCTTTACTATTTACTCTATCTACTAATAGCTTAGGTAGAGAGTAAACTAGCAAGCCTTGCTCTGTAGTAAGCAACGCTAAAATAAGGTTTAACTAGAAACCTCTATCTACTAGAGCCTTAATAGGCTCTAATTAGCTAAGTAACACCTTTACTATTAGTAGCTTTACTAGCTTAGAGTAAAGCGCGTTATAAAGAAGTTCTAAGTTCTAGAATACTAGGTCTAGGGCAATATAGGCAGCTAAGAAGAACTCTAGCTTCTCTATCTACTACCTTTTTCTAATCTCTAACTAGATAAGCTCTTAGAGTCTCTCTTAGACTTTAGACAGTCTCTTTAGAAGTGTCTAGTCTTGTTGCACCTCTAATAGGTTATGTTAGAGTCTTTTAGACTGTTTTAGTCTAATTTAGCTAGTTGTAAGTTAGATTTTGCTAAACTAGCCTTCTTAGCCTTTTTCTAAGTCTAAGAAGGCTCTAAAAAAGAGTTCTAGGCCTAATAGCTACAGAATTTGTTCTTGCGAGCTAGATGCTTAGAAAGCGTAGTAGTGCGCTTTATCTTACTCTAATAGTAGTAAGCTAAGGTATTAAGCTTAGAGACTATGTTATAGTCTTCTAGGTCTTAAAGCAAGAGTTCTTTCTAAATATTAGAAAGAAGAGCGCTTATAAAGTCTATGCAGCGCTACTCTTTAGCGTAGTTACCTAATTTGCTCTAAAGCGTGTTAAGGTAGGCTAAAAGAGAGTTAGAATTCTAATCTAGCCTCTATTTAGTCTATTTAAGCCTATTGTAAGCTGTAAGGCATTACAACAACTTAGAACTAAGCGTATTAAGTATAACTATCTTAAGTTTCTTCTAGGTAGGCGTCTAAGACGCCTTAAGTCTTATATAGTTCTAGAAGTAGATATTCTAAGTAGAGCGAGTAGTTTTGTCTAGAAACCTTACAGCAAAGTCTATCTTCTAGGTACCTATAGAGAAGGTAGAAGGCGCTTCTCTAAAAATAGCCTTATAATTACGTACCTAGTAGTTATACTATAAGTAGTCGCGCGTAGTAAATATCTCTAGGTTCTTAGAGCGCAGAGCTTCTAAGTTTAACTAGAGCTTGCCTCTTAGAGCTAAGACGTAGCAGGCGATGTTCTCTTTAAGAGCTAAGCGGTTGCCTATAAGTACCTTACACTTTAATTCTCTAAAATAGGCTACGTCTTAATAAGTGCGCTCTAATTATTTCTACTTACGTAACTTCTTAAGTTCGCGGGTTAAGGTAGCCTATTTATCTTTGCTTTTAGTAGTAGTAGCCTACAAGAGCCTAGTTAGCTCTAAAATAGGCTCTAATAGCGCGTTACTGTCTCTAATAATTAAGACTAGGTTAGCAACGCCTAAAGAGGCTTCTAATAGGTCTATAAGTTTCTTAGTAGGCAGTGTTACTGCCTCTAGAGATATAGAAGCTAATTTCTTCTAGTTGTTGTCTGTTGCGCGCAAGAATAGTGCAGCTTGCTTACTACTGCGTTGTATTACGCTAGAGAGACCTGCTTTAGAGCTTATTATGTCTAAACAGCGTACACAAGAGTATTATAGAGTAGAGTAATTTAAATGTTAAATAATAGAGTTAGTAGAATACTAGATGTACAATATTAGACTATAATTAGGTGTATTATTCTAAAAGAACTAGAGACAAATTGCTACTAAGCTACAATAGCGATTCTAAGGTATTTATAGCTAATGCTAAGTTAGCCTAGGCCCTTTAGAGCTAGAACCTAATAAAAGTAGGTCTAGAAAGAGCTAGATAGGTCTAGATTAGCCTAGTCTAATATTCTAATAAAGTAAGCTAAAGAACATATTAGATTAAATAAATTAATAAATTTTCTAAGTATAATAGACTCTAAAATTACTTAAGTCTTAATTATAAGTATAAAGAAATTAATAATTATATTTCTAGAGCTAAAGCTAATCTATACTAATTTAAACCTATCTAGATTAGATAGTAACTAATTACTATATAAAAAATAATAATAAGTAAATTAGAACTAGAAAGAACTCTAGAGAGCTTAACCTAAACTAATCTATACTAGAGTATCTTAGACGCTAAACTTTATAACTAAAAAACGCTAACTAGAATAAAACTACTTAAATTAACCTAGAGATAGCTCTAAATAGACCTAGACTATACTAAGTTAACTTAGAGTAGAGTAGAGTAATTAGCTTAGAAGCTATTTCTAGTAGCTTTAGATAGCTTACTTTTAATTAAAAATAGTAAGTTAATAAAACTTTTAATCTTAGCTTTTAGAGCTAGAACCTTCTTCTTAAAAAGATTTATATTCTTTTTCTTTTAGACTAGATTAGATAGGTTTAGATTAAAATAAAAGAGAGTATACTTATATACTTACTAAAAGTCTTAGAAGCTCTATTAGTGTTACTATAAGACTTAGCCTTTTAAGTAATCTTAAGAATTTTAGTATTAAACTAGATATACTTACTAGAGTATAAAAGTGTATTTTTATTATTAACGTATTAAATAGTATTTCTATCTAGATTAGTATAAATTAGTATAAATAACTCTAGATTACTTATATAGTAAAAGTAGTAGCCTAAGCCTTAATATTTTACTTTAGAGATAACTTATCTATAGTAAAAGTATTTAAGATATTATAAACTAGAGCGTTTAAAAGCGCCTAAAAGTATATTTTATAAATCTTTACCTATATTATAATAATACTAGAGATAGTGTACTTAGGTAGCTAGATTAGTCTAGATTAGCCTAGATTATACTAGAATAGTATTACTTACTTAAAAATAATCTTAACTAGATAAGTTATAAAAAATATAGTAAAAAAAAGTTAGAGCTTTCTTCTTACTAATAGTATAAAACGCTATTATAGTAGTTCTACTCTATAAAGTCTAGGTTAGTATAAATTAGTATAGATAGCTCTAGAAAGAAGCACTAACTTATATCTTATAGTTCTTATCTAGTAGATAGTAGTAAAGTACTAGATTAGTCTACTAGTTATTCTTAATAGTAGTATATAAAATATTACTATAGTGTATATAACTATTTAGATTATATCTAGCCTTAGTAGTTATATCTCTTAGTTACTAGGCTCTAAGCGTCTATATTATAACTAGATTAGTATAAATAAGACTAGATTAGAATTAAAGATAGCTAGTTATTACTAAAATACTTTAAGTAGTAGAAGATAGAGATAGATAGTATAAGATTACGCTAGATTATAGTTAATAGTATTAGTTAATAGGCTTTTATACTTATTAGTAAAAGAAAAGAAAAAGTAAGGCTAGACTACGCTAGGCTAGCTTAGATCTACTTTAATCTAAGGTAGTCTAGACTAATTCTAATATATAAAAATTTTAGAAATACTTACTAAATAATAAGTAGAAGTAAAAAGTCTAAGTAGGTAGTCTAAAAAGAAATTCTCTAATATTAATATATAAGCTATATTTTAGCCTAAGCTTAGCGCTTATATAATCTTCTAAATTTTTTTAATTCTTTATCTTATATAGAACGTACTTCTAAAAAAAAGAAAGACTTTATTATAACTACTTAGTTATAGACTACTCTAGATCTCTTTAGACTTTTCTAGACTACGCTAGCTTATATAAGTATAGGCTTTACTAGCGTAAAAACCTAAAGAAACTTTTTATAAGTAATAGCTTTACCTAGATTACTTAGTAGAGGTTTACATTTATATAATCTTATATTAACCTATTTTACTTTTATAATTTTATTCTAAAATAGATTAAATTTAGGCTAAAGTTATAGTCTTTAAGGCCTTAGTATAGAGAATTTAGTAGCTAACTTAAGTAGACTAGAACTATTTTAATAATATAAAAAAGAATTATATTCTTATAATTAAGTAATATATACTACTATAAGTAAGTGTATAGATACTATTAGTATAGATAAGTAAACTAAGTATAAAATTTAATATTACTAGTAATTAGACTAGTAGCTAAATAACTTATATTAAATAAGACGTTTTGCTTAGATATTTAGTTTACTTTTTACGTTTTTTGCTCTCTTAGAAGACTGGCTCTATTGCACCTGGCAGGCCTAGGCGCAGGGTGACTGTAGCAGTAAGGGTTTTTGGTACTAGCATCGCATGCGAAATCTTGATATGTAGTACTTGCGATAAGTCGTGGAGCTTCGTGGTTCTGTGGATTAAGTGAATGATGAACGTAGACCCAGTGGCAGGAAGAAATTCGGGGGCTGGGTCGGGCGGCCGAACGGCCGGCACGCATTGACTAGCGCATTTCCCAGCTCCCTCAGCCCCCAACTGTGAGCATCGGACGACGTCACTATCGTACCTAGGTAATGTACACGCAGCATATTTGCGCACGATGTGCCATACATTGCGTATATGAGACCTCTAATACTTCCATCAACCTTTGAACCCAGCCGAATCTACCTAGGTAGCCAGTCGCGTCATCGACCCTGACAGGCCTACCTACTTCAGTCACAAAGCACGCATTCACGACAGATCAAACCCCGTATACCCGTTCTCCGCCGTCTCGTTGATCGTCTTGTAATAAGTCGGCACACCTCCGATGTACATCAATGGCTCTCTAGGCTTCCCAGGAATATTACTTCCCATGTACCACTATCGCAGCGTTAGTATACCACAATTCCTGATTCATTGGCTCGTTGCAACTCACAGAATCTACACTGGGCAACAGCGATGCATTTGCAAGCTTCCATATAAGCTCTTTCCACTGATCTTCGCTCTCCTTCTGGGCCACGATCTTACGAAGCGACTTCTCCTTCATATGGTTCATCATCTGCAAGATCCAGCCGCCTTGCAGCTCAGCGCACGTGGGACCATTGCACAGCGCAGTCGGCGCTTGGGGCCCATATGTGAAAAACATGTTCGGGAAGCCTGCGACAGCCATTCCGAGATACGTCTTTACGCCGTCCTTCCAATGCTCGCTCAAGCTCTCGCCTGACGGACCGCGGATATCGATCTGTTTCAGACCACCGGTAAGGGCATCGTAACCGGTCGCGCTGATGATGTAGTCGAACTCGTGTTCTTTCTCTGTGGTCTTGATGCCTTTCTCGGTAATCTCTTGGATTGGCGTACCCTTTTCGCTGATGTCAACAAGAGAGACGTTGGACTTATTGTACATTTCAAAGTACCCATTCTCCAGCGCGATACGTTTGCAACCGAAGGAATAGGGTTGCTCAATGGGAGCGAGTGTATCAGCGACTCTGTTGTTATTGATCTTCGCCCGCGTCTTGTCTCGCCAAAAGTTGTATGCTTCGCGGTTGGCTTCTTTGCTAAAAAGCATGTCTTGATAAGCCGCAAGCCAGAATTTGAAATCGCCTTCACTCCACAAGTCTTCGTAAACCTTCATCCTTTGTTCTGGCGTATCGTCGAATGTAGAGCGGGGGATGAACTCAAACGAGAAGCCTGAGAAGCGTGTTTTCAACGCTGCGAAGAAGTCCGGATACTCAAGCTTGGCGATGGCTTGTTGCGGAAGGTCGTAGTCGACTTGACGCATTGGCATTGACATGTTCAGTGTCCGTTGGAAGACTGTGAGCTGGCTGGCAGTCTTGCTCAGCTCCTGCGCTATTTGAATGCCGGTAGCGCCAGTTCCAATAACAGCCACCTTCTTGCCGCGGAGATCAGGTTCTTCATGAGGCCAAAATGAGGGATGGAGGAATGTGCCTGATCAAAGGTTAGTGAGTTTCACTGCGACGGCAATGTGATCCGACCTTTGAAAGAATCGATGCCTTTCCAATCGGGAATATGTCGCTTCGCCGCGAAGCCAGTGTTCAACAAAAGAAACTTCACCTTGTACATCTCGCCCGCCTTCGTTTTCACCGTCCACCTCGCTTCGTCATCACTCCATGTCGCAGACGAAACGAATGTGTCAAACTTGGTATCCTTCCGCAGATCCCACACCTTCGCCACGTGAGCAAAATAAGCGCGAAGCTCCGAGCCCGCTGGGAATCTCTGCTTCCATGTCCAATCCTTCCAAAGTGCTGGGTCGGAGAATTCGTAGTGGGGAATCGAGCTGTCGACACGAACGCCCGGGTACCGATTCCAGTACCATACACCGCCGTAATCGGATCCGTGCTCGACGAGCTTGACGTTATAGCCTGCGTCGCGGAGTATCTTCAGCTGGTATACGCCGCAGAAACCTGCGCCAACTATCAGGGCGTCGAGTTCGATGACGTGCGTGCCATTGGTGCCGTTAGCACTGCCGTTGAGGGACAATCTTTGGATATCTTCGATGGAGCCCATGTTGATATAAGACTTGAGCCACAGCCGCGCTGGTGGATGTGAAGGATGGAGCCGATACAATATTGATTGCACTGCAGGTTCGGTCGGAGAAGAGATGACAATGAGGGGAAGCTTATACGGATAGCAGACTGTTGGACTTCTTGCGTAGCTTAAAGGAATAAGCTGCAGTTCATCCGGGGTGTATTGGCACAGCGCATCGCGTGCGGGAGGGTAATCCTGCAGTTCTTGGTCTTGTTCATCAGGCCATACCTCGACGAATCCTTGTGCTCAGTCTCGGACTAGATCGGTGAGAGGTGGTAACACATTGCGTGCCCCGCTTAGTCTGGTACGGGGTCTTTCGGACATGGCACCGTTCTGGACCCGCCAAGATCTCTGCGGTACGGCACGCCCGTTGGACGGCTGGGGTCAGTTCCTGAAGCGGAAATGTGGGATTGCAGGAGGTTCAATACCTATCGCACGATACAACGTGGACGTCACATTGACATTGCTCCAAAGCACGAAGAGTGCACTCATCGCTACTGTCTTGTTGTGACACCAAGCTTGGCAGCGCCTGCAGCGGATATGGTCAGTTGCACAGCTACGGGTGGAGGATGTAAGACCCATGTAGTACTATATGCATCATGGGAGGTTCGGCCCTTTTATCATGGGGCCGACGAACCTGGCGCTACAGGCGGGGAAAGGTGGCGCGGGCACTCACTGGAGGAAGACCGTTTTGTAATCATGACATGCGTTGATGAGGGCTCTGCTGATGCGTCTTGCAAGCATGGCAGATCTTGCCGGGCGGTTTTGCACCAAACAACTTGAAGTCAACAATGCATCCGATGCCGGCCTATGTAAAGATCAAAAGAATGACATCAGCTGCCAGGCTTACACTCAAGTACGATGTGCATATCAGCGGTTACTATCCTCATGCTAGACATATTGACAGATGCATGTGTTATTCTGGTCTGAAGTCTGCGACATTGTACTTTCAAAGGCATTATAGGAATGTCGCACACGATAACAACGGATGAGACAGCTGCTCTGACGTGCATAACGTTCGTCGTTGTGACAGCGTCTAGTCACAGTACCTAGGTAGCTTGTTCTTCGTTAGCTGTGAACCTACAAGATAGGGAAATGCGCCGTGTAACCCTGACTACACAAAATAAACATCATACCACACCTAGCAATTAGCAACAGACAAAACAGGCGACGATGGAAGGTATGAAAAGAGCCTATAGACGTTGACTTAGCGATATAGGTTGTTGTGGTTCGCACTGGCGGAAGTGCTTGGCAAAAAGATTCACCAAAAAATCAACACCACGACTCCTGGACGACGACCACATGTCCTCAAGAGCGCAAAAAACAAGGAAGCCCGACGTGGGGGTCGAACCCACAACCTTGAGATAACCAATCGAGTCTGATTAGGACGTGAAAGCTAAGAGTCTCACGCTCTACCGATTGAGCTAGCCGGGCGATGCTGTTGTTTGATGGAAGAAGCTCACATTGAAACGTATCTATACTCAGATGATGCTTCCTGAGAGTAACGTTCAGGCTGTAGCAAACCAGGCTGCAAGTTGTTGAAGTTTGGGATTGGTGGTTGTGGTAGCAAAGAAAATTTCTTGCGGTCGTGTGGGGCCGCCGGCGGCGGAGGGCCGGCGAACATCGTGCGTGTAACCTACATGACTTGTCAACCGAGAACGATCATGCTGACGCTCTTCTACTGTTCGGAGGGATTTGCTGGTGTTACGGATGCAAGGTACTGTTCACTAAATATACTTCAGCCGCGGTATATGGGCCTCCGATGCGCGTAGATGCAGGAAGCTGTGTCTCACGACCAACAAAGAGCTTCTGAAGTCAGGTATTCCTGTTTCGACCCCGGATACACACAGAAAGATGTCTTTGCTGGTCTCAAGCTTTGAGACCGCGAGGCTGTTTACTGCTGTGTAAACAGGGGCTCATGGCATCCAGTCGCACGCCCCGCCTACCTAGGCAGGCACGCCCTATGAACTCCAGACCGCTCGTTGATTGGAATCTTAGATCCGGCGTAGAAACACGCCAGCAATGAAGTCCGGGTCGGATCGATACAGTTGTTCTTCATGTGCTGAGTGTACTACGTGTACAATGGGGGGCATGTTGCGACGCAGGTAGGCTGAGGTAGCTACCCGGGGAGCGATGGATCAACTGGGAGTGGCTCAATGTATTGGTGCAATGTAGCAATAAAGACCGCAAGAACATCGCAAGTATCTGAAAAAGATTCAACGAAACCGAGAGTCGTTGTTGAGGTTGCAGTGTAGTGTTCCTTGTGGACACCTTACACCCCATAGCTGCAGCACCCTGATGACGTATCCACTCATGTCCCCACGTGCACAGACCACTACCTCAGCTCGGATCAGACGGCTTCACCCAACACAGAGCTTCGTCCTTGTGAAGTCGACGTTCACACAAGCTTTCTGATCGACGTCTAGTGCGAGGCTGGATTTGAGAATTTTGGAGACAGTGCGAGGCTGGGGCCTAGGATTGGTGCATATCTAGTATCGACTTTGGACATGTCAACGCAGCCTGGTTCCCTACTCCAAGCGTACCTCAGGAGGCTCAGGCTAGCATTGTTGTTAGCTGGATGATATGGAAGCTTGGACTATATTCGTATTTCACGTTGAAAAGTATACTGTTGATGGGATATATTGCTGCCGTTACATCGTTTACTCATACATCATGAAAAGAGGAAATCGCAATATGCATGCATGCAGCCCACCGCCCCCAAAAAAGGTATACTTGCGACCCAACGCCTTGCTGTGACATAAAACAAACAACCCCCAAAGATACAGGATTCACCATGGCGATTGCCAAATGCTCACCGATAGATCATCTCTTCCCTGAGAACACTCCTCGGCGGACTGGGTACGTGTGGCGCAGGGAGACTCAACCTCTTCGTTTCGACCTTGACCTCGCGCAGATCGACTTCTTGTTCCAGTTCGCCGACATCGTGGTATGTTCCCACGTGTTTGACAAGGCTGTCTACTGTCCGGCAAATCGCGTCGACATCTCTGCCCTTGCTGCAAATTGTGCACGCGTACTCGCCATCTGGGGTATGGCACTTGATGACGAAGCGCTGGGCAAGACGGAACTCGCGTGTGTCCATGATGTCGTGCTCATATCCAGTTGTCTTGTCCCAGATAGTGACGGGTGTCCGTTTGCCGATCATCCAGAAGTCTTCGCTGGTCACGTCGAGGCGAACGCCGCATGCAGGACATGCGCAGCTACCTCCAGGGGCAAAGGAAGCTGCCAAGGGGTTTCCGGGCATGTATTGTAGATCGAGTGCGTAGCGGCAGAAGAGTTGCTCGGGGCCATCCATGGGCATAATAGCACTAGGCGCGCGCTGCGAAGGAACGAGGGAGCGCGGAGGCGATGCAGGGCGAGGTGGGGGTGGTGCGCCGACTTGCGAGCCTCCTAATCGTTGTTGCGCTTCTTGTAGGGCGATCATGGAGCCTTCCCTGGCTTGGTTTGAGGCGGCGATGAGTTTGGACATGTCGGCGCGAGTCAATTGGCGGTCGTTGTATAAGGCATCTTGGAGGACGTTTATAACAGTTTGTTGGAGGGAGATGATGTGCGCTTGTAGTTTGTTCTCGACGATGGCTGTGCGTGGGGTCAGTCTTGTACCAGTTCTCCAGCGCAATCCACTTACCATCACCCTGGGCGAACCGGCTGCCCATCCTGCCATAGCCTTGGTCATACATCCTCTGAACCATCATGCCATCCCTCTCAAAATTGTTTCCTACGTCGTCGCGCCCTCCACCGTTCTTCAGCCGATCGATCTCCTGTTGTCTACCGTCGGCTCTCTTCTGCGCCTCTTCGAACTGCTTCTTCAGCTCCTTGATCTCGCCATCTTGTTTCGTGTCGCGCTGTTTCTGTCGGTGCTGTTGGCGCTTGTCTGAGACGCGCTCCCATAGCCCCATAGACGCCGTGAACGTGCCGACAAGCGTGGACGCCAACGTGGCCACGATGAAGGTTTTCTGAGCCGCACGTGTTAGATTTGCGATCAACAGTAAGCGCGGAGTGGGCATACCTTGAGTTTCTCCTCTTCGATCCATGATGCGTAATTCATTGTCGCGTTGGTGGTGTGAGCAAGTAGGCTCGTACGCCGCTTCAGTATCGAACCGCGGAAAGGGCCGAGGAGATGGCGTGTTAAGGTTGCACGTTGGAAAGACGACACGTGCGTGCTTGACAGAATATGATCCCAACTCTTTCTAGCCTCGTGAAGTAGCCGCCTTCTCAGAAATCTGTAATGCAACAAAGTGAAGTAGGAAAAGAAAAGCGCGGAGAATAAAGCGCAACCCCCTCCGCATTGCCAATGACGCACTCTGTCCTCCGCCCGTCCTGTAACACACGCGAGTCGAGCCCCCAAACGGCGCCCGACCTTAGATCAGCCGGGCATGGGAAATAGCGGCAGCTGATTGCACCAAATGTCGCGCAAATATCGGAATGGGCATGGGCGCAGTGCTCTGACCGCTGGTTTCACGATGTGTTGCGAGCCGCGCCAGCAAAGTGGATGCGCCATGTGCTGTGATGTCATGCCGCTAGCTGGATTGGCTTTAGCTGACATGCGGGAGATGAAGCCGGCGAGGACCGCAACCTTAATATAAGCATGGCGGCCACGAGACGTCTTGATGAAGTCGTGTGAGGTTTCCGAGGGACATTTCAAGGTTGCGGTTTCAGATATGTGAAGCGAACATGGCGGCCAACCTTGGAAGACGTACCTAGGTATGCTGCAGCCGCTCCAGCGCGTCGCACTCCCAATAGCACGTAATGTGATCTTTCATCAATATTCTCGAAGGCTACGCATGGATATACTTAGGTACCTGCGCAGCATATGACATGAGATTGTCAGGGGTTTGTCCATTCCTGGCTGCCTGTCATCACCGACCCCTTTGTAAGCTGACTGCATTGCCTTCCCGCAGCCGAAAGCATGTTGGTATCAGCTACCCGGCGCCTGCCGAGGGTATCTTCAGTCCTTGTTTTGT